AGTTGGTTGAGAATTTCAGTGTCCTACAATAGGTGGAGATGACAACCTATGGATCGGATACCAAATGAATGCACATATGGAACATCCACGATTAGGAACTTGGTCTTCAATGTCATCAAACAAGCACCCAACCTAAAGGTAATATAGAGGTTGTCTGTTTGAGGGGATGTGATTGAGTCTTCCATGAAATCAATTAGTGTAGAGGAGATGGGCAACAAATCTTTTGTGGGCAAGCCTTTCTTTTGGAAGGCATCATAATAGAGAACTGCTAGTGAAGCTCTTTGTCATTCAAAATTCTCTTCACCGATGCATTGACGATTTGCATAGATATAATTAGGGTATTGTCATATTCGGAATCAAGATGCTCGACCTCTTCTTCCTCGAACACAATAGTTGGATCTCCATTAAATCTATATCTCTTGGCTTGAGACTCCCTCGTATATGTTTTATGAGCAGTGTTGTTATTCCTCATGATGTTGAGCCTCCAACAATCACGTTCACTTGATATTCAATGAGGTCTTATGGTCTAGGAGATGTCTCATGGGCTCTGGAGAGATATTAATCCAAATGTCCTATTTGAATTAGCTCTTTAACTTGTTGCTTCAAGTCATAGCAGTCCTTTGTGGCATAATTATGATCTTGATGAAATCTATAGTATTTGGATCTATATCTTCTTATTAGTAGTATCCTTAGCAATTGAGACATTTGCAAGAGTCCTTTTTGTTTTATTTATAAGAAGAGTTTCATGTGGGACATATTGGATTTTGTCTCTTTGTTGACTTTCATTTTATGGTTGGTCAATGTGGGTCTATTGTAAGGGTCACTCCTCTTTTACAAGCTTTTTTGCCTCTATCTTTATCTTCTCTATAATCAAAGATTTTATAACCATATGTTGATTAACTTCTTAAAGGAGTTTTGGGTATGTGGTGGACGATTGTCATGACGAACTAGAAAAATCGAGATGGCAAAGGGCTCTAATATATGCATTGATAAAAATAGATGGATTATGATATGAGACTATTCATACCTCCGCATTAAATCTTCTAGTATGATTTACTATTATCCCACTATCCTATTGTTGTATTGTCAAAAAGAAGTCTGTCAACTTTTCAAGAGTTTGTATCTAATGAAGTAGAGCTGAAACTTCTTAGCCAATTGACCAAATGAGGAGACTGATTTAAGAGGCAACTTTAACAAACCACTCCTATACCACTCCTTATAAAGGTGGTTAGGAAAGTCCAATATATAAGAAAGTTAGTAGTAATGTAAAGGGTCATCTATGTGGTGAAGGTCATAATATGCTCTAACGATTTTGAACTTCTATCATATATTATGTGTATGGGAAGGCAGAATCCTTGTGGGATTGACTCCTCCCGAATCGTTTATTCTGTCTCAAGCTCAAAAGGTTGGTCATAAACTTAAGAAGGAATCTGTAAGTAATATATGTCTAACTCATTTAGTTCTTTATTTTTTTGCACTAGGGTATATTAGAATCGAGTCGGCACTAAGAGAGGGGGTGAATTAGTGCAGCGGATAAAAATATTGATCTGAAAATTTCTTCGTACAATAAAAATTGATCTCAGACAAAGCCCATATAGGAAATACTTAACTTTGAAAACGTATTCGTAAGTATAGTAGAAGTAAAGCAAGTAAGCAGTTTGCAGTGAAGGTAAATAGCAAGAATAGAACTACAAACTAAGTTTTATAGTGGTTCGGTCGTTGCGACTTATATCCACTTTCGATTCCTCTTCTATCGAGGCTACTGACATCCACTATGATCTTCCTTCAATGGACAAGATCAACTACCCTTTTATACCCGATTCTTCTTTTGACAAGTTCAGAAGAGAACTTTTACACCTCCACTTACTCTTCTCTTAAATCACATTAACACTTAGAACTTGAGAGGAGTTCTCACAAGATTACAATAGTATTTTTCTATTTTTTTACTCTCAATTCTTGTATATATTAACCAGGGATGAGAGGAGTATTTATAAGTTTTACGTGGATTCAAACTTGGAGCGTCTCATACCAGGTTTCCCGGGTCTTAGCGGTACCACCGCCTATGCTGGGCGGTACCACCACCTGCAGTACTAGCACTACCGTTCAGTCTAGCAGTACCACCACCTGACAGTCTCTCAGAGATTGTGTCTGGGTGGTACCATCGCCCAGACCAACGGAACCATCGCCTGACATAGTCTCGGAGACTCTGCCATGATGGTTTCACATGTTAGGTCACTATTTAGACCTTTTCACTTGGCCCAACATAGCCCAAACTTAGGCTCAGTTGGCCTCTAATTAAGTTGGTCTAATTATATTCTAAACCGACTCAAATAGACTCTAAATGAACTCGATCTAGACATAATCGATTACAAGCGAATCCTATGTTGTCCGGCATGTCATTGGTTCTTCCGACATTTTGTCTGATCTTTCGGTGCATCGTCCTCTAATTCGGTGTATTGCCCAATCAGCATGTTATCTTCTCACAATATCCAATCTCCTTGGTGCAATGTCCGATCTTCTTAGCTCGATGCCCGAATTCACAGACCGAAGCCTTCTGCCGACATGTCGATCAATCCTCCGGCCCAACGTCCAATCTTCTGACATGTTTGCTCCAGCTTAATGTTTGATTCCTTCTGTTTTAATCGATTTACCTTTTCTGATCAAAGCTAGTCCTGTGTCATTTAAATAATATTATATGACAAACACATCAATTGATTTCATCATCAAAATTCGAGATTCAACAGGACATTCCGAGGTGACTGCATCTCTCGAGGGGTTTCTACTGGGAGAGGTTGTGAATCCGCTAAAATGTTAGGTGCTGATGTTGGTGGAGCTACGTGAGGTGTGGCCAAAGAAGTTGGCTTTTGTTGTGCTAACTAAGCCAACTGATAAATGAAAGAAATGATGGTTTGAACAACTCATGGCAAAGCCTAAACTTGTTGGCTCAGGTTGTTGAATGCTTCGATAAGAATAGTGATAGAGGATAGAAGTGGAGTGGATTGTGGAGTAAATAGTGGGTGGTTGATTGTCATGTTGGAGAATAATCGATGGAGAGCAACGGGTTCAAGAATTGAGAAATAGAGTTTTCAATGGATTTGAGGGTTGGACTTGGGAGACTGAGATTCTCTTGATTTTCCCAAGAGGAATCAATATAATTTTCTTAAGATATGTTAGGAGGCCCTTTCCCTACCTAATGCACCAATATGTTAAAGCATATTCTAGTTATTTAACTACAATACTAATTTCGGGCTAATCGAAATCATATTCTATATCTTTCTTAGCTTAGTATAAGAAAATTTTGAATTCATCCAATTCGGGATATATTAGACCTTATAAAATTATATTATGAGTGTGCTTTACAAAGCCTATCCAAAGCATAAGCTAATTTTTGTCATGATGTGTTGGTTAAATTTTGAGTCTTTTAAGAGTTAGAAAGTGTTTGAGTCTTTTGAATCAAAGAAACCTTTGAGAACATGCCTTTTATATTGAGGTTTTAGGATCACGTTTGGGAACATGATTTAATATCGGAGTAGTTACATGTCTTCCATAGATGAGATCGTGCCATGTCGAATCCAAAAGATATAATTCGATCGTAAATATAGTTGTAACATTCAAGAGATGATCTTATGTCAATCATGTATTACCAAGGTATCGGTGTTGACTATATAGTATTATGATATTTACCATAAAAAATTAAAATATTGGTCACATGACAAGGTGTTGATAGCTTTTCATGTCATTTATTCCCAAGAATTATTATGAAATATAAAGAATGACACTCATAAAATTATAATTTTTATTTTGTTTTAGTTTAGTTTCCTTTTTATATGGAATTCCTATATATATAAAATTATAATTTGAGCTTCTTAATTCGTGGTATAATTATTTACGGTTGGAAAAAAATGCAATAAGGTGAATGATTGATTCATTTTGTTATGGTATTACCTTGTTCAGAATGTAATTATGCGAAATAAATGTAGACTTATAAATAACATGTAATGGAGGACATAATATTATAAAATGAAAAAAAAATTGATGAACGAGAATAAAGAACGAAAAAAATTAAGGAGCAATCGCCCTACTGAACTCATTCCACTCGAATGCCTCACGTGATGATTCAAAAATCATGCACTTCTTCCTGTAAACCTTCCCTTTGAATAAGTTGGAGGATATTACATCATTTAGATACTCATTTAAAGATCAACTTATTAAAATTTGTGGATTTGAAATTTCGGACGAATTTTTAAAAGTACTAACTGGCTTGATAAAGATCTTTCCGGACCACTTTATGGTTTTGGCATCTAAACATGTCTTCATGACTTATCATTTCAAAACAAATCTAATTTATCCGTATATATATATGAAGATCTGAATCTTTCCAATTGGTATAGGGTTGAATTCTTCCCCTCTTTATTCATATAATTTATTTGCAATTGTTTAAAGTTGCACATGAATGCAATCCTCCTTGACAGATTTAATCATTTAATTATTTCTCAAGCAGTCATCTTACTTCATACACAAGCAGTTACTGCCAAAAAACACCAGTCACAAAGCAAATTACCGTGCACATCTTGATTCGTGCTATTTCGGATCTAACGGTAGGATGCGTTTCTCGCTGATCTTTCGCGCCTGCAATCGCTTGCGGAGGACGTGGTATAAGGTAGAATTTACAATCATAAAATGCATCAAGATTTGGACAAGCAGCAATCGCCAGAAAACACTAATCACAAAGCATAATCACCACTCACGTCAAGATTCGTGCTGCCCAGAATCCAACGGTGACCATCGACGCTAGCGCCTCCAATCCTTATCAGAGGACGAAACGTATAAGTTCGCAATTAGGACGAAACATCCTCCCTAGTTCTCAAAGTCCCCAAGGACACGCTAGTATCGATCACCCACATTTACCCACATCGTGGGCTCCACCTGATGCTACGCTATAAAGTCCAATTCAGGTCAATCTAAAACACGTCAGTGTAACCCTACTCCTCTCCCGTCGTCGGTTTAAAAATGGCTCGGTCTCTCCCACGGTCTTTTCTCTGCATCTCCCGCGGACCAGAGGAGACGATGCCCAATTAGAGGAGGAAGAAGAAGACGAAGGGATTGAAGAGAAGGGGTATATAGAAGAGGGAAGGAGGAAAGAGGGAGAAGAGGAGACAGGAGGGAAGAGGGTATGGTGTTCAACGCGGGGTGGGTGACGGCGGTAGCGAGGGCCTCGGCGGAGGCCTGCCAATATGTGGCCTGCAACCCGGAGCGGCTGAGCAGCGAGGAGGTGCTCGACCTCCTCTGCTGCCTCCCCCTCCGCCACCTCCGCCGCCTCGCCATCTGCGTCTTCTCCTTCTTCTGCATCCCCCCTTCCCTCCCCGACGAACCCCGCAACCGCGGCCGCCGCTACACCTACCGCTATTCCCTCTCCTCGTCCTCCGCTTCTTCCTCCTCCTCGGACGAATACGATTCCGCTGGTGGTGGCTACGACTCGCATTCTGATTGATCAATCGATTCCGGTGGATCTCCTCCCTCTGTACAGTAATTATTCCTCTTTCGCCTCCCTTCCGAGTAATTAATTGGTGGCCTTGTCCGGGGGATGTGATCGGTACCACAATGATTCCTGTTTGGATTGGCAAATACTGTTTGTCTTATCATCATATGATGTTTCGGGTGACCTTGTTGTAGTGATAGTTAACTTATCTGCTGGGTGTTGAATCTTGTTGTTTTCCAATTGAATTCTGGTTTGGCTAGCCATTGTGCCTAACTACTCTTGTCTCTGTGTTAGTTATGTTTGATGTGTTAGTTATTTTTTAATCCTGGAAGTTAGTGCCATTGAAAACCAATAAGAATTCTCTTTTCCATCTTGATAAATGGTTGCACTTGATATTTTGTGTAATGACTGCTCTAATCTACACAGGATGACTCAAATACTTCTATAATTGATATTGTGCTTGAAAGACACCAAAATCAAATAAATCAAACTTGATATTTCATGAAATCTGGATTTTAAAGTTGTATGACATGATCAAACTCTATCTAACATAGGCCCACTTGAAACCAAAGTTTAAGACAATTGTACATGTTGGACACTTGTGCTTTTGGACTTTCTAATGCTACCAAAAACCTTTTTCTTTAGGTCATCCAATGATCCATTGAGATGAGGGAGCGATTTCAATATCAGCCTTGTCCCTTAATGAAGCATATGTTTGCTACTTAAAATGGTTTATGATCTTAGCTTTGATTTTCACCCACAAACATTAGTCAAAGTGTTACAGCTTTTTGCATAATTATTAGGTGCATTTGCATTCTTTAACTTACCAAGCCATAGTATAAGTCATTTTTTTAACCTAAATAGTCTTCCTTTTCTAGGGAACATGTCAGATTCTCCAGCTTTGTTTAAATTATAAGATGCAATTATCTGCCTTTACATGTTTAATTTCTTGTAAGGTTGTTGAAGTTGAACTGGCAGAGCAGTCAGATCTGGTTAGCAATCAAGGAAACACCATAAGATCTTCTTCGTTTGAAAATGAAAACACATGCTATCTGCAGATCTAGACATTCTCTTTGTCCATCTTTATGGTTCTTGGGTTTATTAACTTCCTAACTGATAGATGGTCATTTCAAGTAAACGCCCATCATAGAACTCTGTTGTGTTTAACCCAGTAGTTGGAGAGATTTACTAGAATTGGTTAAAATTTTACATCTGTCACATATAGAATATTAATGTCATGTGATCTCATAATAGTGAAATGCATGTATATTGATAATAAAACCCTGGATTTTTTTTTAATTTACCTCCTTCCATTCAAGTATTATAAAACATGCATATTAAATGCTTATGGTAGACTTAGACTATTCACTTCATGATGACTTGACCACTGGAATGTCTCCTTAGAGACCAAAGACAGTATTAGGTAGCTTTATGCAGTCATGGGCTTTTATTGGTGATCCATTAGTTATGCTATCATTTATCATCCTCTTCAAGATCAAATTCCGTTTATTAGCTCAAAGTTGCTTTGTTTGCTTACTAGGTCACTCTTCCTTTCCTCCATTGTATGCTTTGTTTTTGTTACTGCACTTCTGATGCATCCTAACCTGGTTTGGTTGTGTAACAATTACTGTAGTGTTTAGACAAACAATGTGCTCTCCAGTGATAAATATGCACATGATGCAAATGTTATGTATAAACAACAGGCTAACATATGGACCACTTATTATGTTGTTCAGTTGGTATCAAGGTTTTTAATTTCAAATAATACCGCCCGGTATGGGCGGTACGTACTGGTCCGCAAGCAAACCGGTACGCAGACCGCCCACTACCGGGCGGAACACTGGATATCGCCCCGTATCGGATGATGCGGGGCTATATCAGGCGGTAACGATCAAAATTTCGATCGTTACTGCTTGGCACAGATCGGTAACGATTGATTTCGACCGTTACCGCCCGGCACAAGTCGGTAACGGTCGAAATCAACTGTTACCGACCTGTAATAGTGTTCCAACAGTCAAATTGACAAGGTACTAGTCAAGTTTATGCGCGGAAGGGGAATGTAGTGGATGAATTTGAGCAGATGCAATAGAGCCTAAATGATGTAGACATAGAATGAAGCTCATCGTATTCACAATCGTCGTATTATGGAGAATCATACGACCAACGGCAATATGGTGATAGTTGGTCATACTTCTCCGAGCAACAATATAATATGGAGCAACAGATCAGTAGTGAAAATGGAAGCTTTGACATTCACTAATACATGCCACAGGAGCCGTTTCGGACAAATGTAATTCATGATGATCAACCTATGATCATCACTATATTGATGCACCAATGACATACGGTGTATCAATACACTATGTCGTGGGATCAATTTTAGGATTGGGTCCAACAAACATATCATATTAATATGCAGATGCTTAGGATTGAGGACCTTAATCCACCACCCGTGGAGGCCCGTCATTCGTTTTGGTGGTAGAATCAACAATCAGGTATATTTACATATGTGATTATTTAATTTATTTGAATTTTAAAGTTTATATTGTAACAACATAATCTAACAATTCAAATGATTTTTCTGTGGATATTTTAATATTTACAGAAGGACAATTCGTAATGGACCGAAATACGAACATCGTACAAGGTTATTCCTTAAAGCCCGAAAAAGATATGTGATACTATTCTTACCTAATTTACATTGATTTTGCTAAAATTATACTATTACTATATTTATTTCTAACTTAAAAATCTTATTCAAAATTTTTTTTCAGGTATTTTCGGAGGATTTTACGCCTAAATTAGATATACCACTCGGTACACTGTATCGTACCATACCGAGCAAAGCTCAAAACTTTGATACGAGACAAAATTTCAATCCTTGGTTGGTACCATTTTGAAGTTCACAGTTTTTGCCTTTCTTCTATAAATTCTCCCTAGCTAGTTCATAACATAAGGTTTAATAGTCTAAGTGTTTCTCTACTGCCTGCCACCTGTAATCTTTCTGAAGAATATCCTGAATGTTTTGATTGATGCTCCTTGATACAGCAATGAGACATTAAACTTGTTGCATAGCATGTCTATGCTAACTGTGCTGACTGAATAATTTGTATTAATGGGACAAGGATGCTTACCTCTCCGCCATAACTAATGTTCTGTATCAAGTACCAAATTCTCATGAATATATAGTCATAATGGAGACACCACATTGCATTTTATTCTTTGGTTCCGAAACTATAGCCAAAAGTTATTTATTTTCATCAAGGTTTTAAGTGCCAATTCAGATTAATACGTATGAGCATTGAAACATATATCATAATAGATGTATACATACAATTTATTCTCTGTTTCTTTTATTCAATAATATTAGGCAATATGAGTTGGTATATTGGTACACTGGTCCAATAGGTTATGAAACCAGCATCAACATAAAACCTCTCAATAGGGAACAAAAAACTATTCTATCAGCTTTTTTTCCTTCAATTGTTTCTACTTATATAGCATTGAAAGGCATAGTATTTTACTTGAAAAAGAAGAAACTCATACCGGGTAGGTTTCCAGAATTACTGTCTATTCAATATTCCTAGCTTTAGTTGAATATAACATAATACTTGCAGTATTTGTTTGTTGTGGAAATAGTTGCATGTCCACTACAATTTAGATGAAGCACTTTTAGCTTCCTTATATTTTCTCTCCAATATGTAATTGTTCTAGTATATAAAAAATGGTTTGACACTGTGTGATAGTTTATATATTTTATTCTGTATAAGGCTTCTATTATGATGGGTATTTTATACCCAAACATTAGACTTGGAAGTTCAGAATTTGTGATCACTGTCATGAAGTAGCTGAAGATACATTTAACAGGGAATGGGGATGAAATGAATAGGTGTACTGTATCTTAGTGGTCAGTTTCAAATGAAGAGGTAGATTAATTCATTTTTCCATGATAATAAATGCTAAACACCAGCATGATATGTGAAAAATCTACTCAATATCCAGGATGTGATTAATTAGTTTTTTTAGTGCAGTACTACTTTTGAGTATTTTGACTATTGGTCAAGTCTCATAGACATTTTGGCTTCAACTGACTTGTCATTACCTAGGACATGATTCATGCAAAACACTGTACATTATCCAGGGCGGAATGTGAAAAGTATTACTCATAATACAAGACATGACACCAAGAGAATTTGTAGCATTAACATAGCCATGGGTTGAATTTTCATGCATGACTTTGTGTTATCTGATGGCTTGCATGGTACATGCCACATGCAAAACATGGTGAATGGCTGTGTGTTGACATAAATATTAAAAGAAAATAAAAAGAAAGTGTAGGGACCAAAAAACCATTAAAGAAAAAAAATTTAAAGAAACCAAAAAGAGAAAAAAAGCTGATTTTCTCAATATTAAAACATAAGATGATTTAAAATCAGAAAAAAAATTGTCTCCAAGTTTTGGATGGATGACAAGGTTCTTGATGGAATTTATTCCTTAGTGATCATTCAATTACATAGGATTCATTACTACAGCTCCTTATCGACAGCAAAAAAGATTGAGAGGGAAGAAGATGAAGAAAGAAATGACTAAGGAATCAATTAAGCAAATATGAAATTTATACAACTACACCTTTTCTAAAGAAATGTGTGTTTTTTTAATACAGAGGAGTGTTTTTTATTAAATGTAAAATCCCTACTTTTATTTCCATTCTTTCTGCCTGAAATCATGCTTTTCAGCCAAAACACTGTTAAAAACCTGATACTGTCCTTCTCCTGTTATAATCCTGAGATCTTCTATTGTCATTTTTGGGTGTGATCATAACATTATTTTGTCTATTTTCTCTTTATACTACAATATCAGTATAAGGATTCCTTGTCAAGAAACATTCTTTTGTCAACAAACAACATTATTCAGTGAATCCTTCTATTGTCATTTCTGTTATTCTGTTTCTTGTGGACTCCTTGATGCATGAGATTTGTTGCCAAGTAACCCTTGTTTATTGGTTGAACTGCGAAACAGCTTTCTCCTGCTGATTCTGATGTATGTTTGAGGAGATGTAGCTTTAGAACCTAATGTTTAGATTAGCGTATGTGATGCATGTGTCTGTTATTTTTATTGGATTTGTCTACTTCTCTACCTTGAGGCTGGTTGGCTGAACTCACCTTCTTATCTTCTTTTCTAAATGAAATTACTTTGCATTTGTGTATACATAATCTCATTCAATGTGCTGTGATAAAATTGTGTTGATAAACATGATTTTCTTCTATTCAAGTATTGTAACTAATCTGAGTATTGTTCCACAACCTTCATCTTGGGTGGGGATAATTTAAGAGTGATGTAGATTCTGTCTGAATGTATGTACTGTCAGAAGAAATTTATT